AATAATGAATCCCGTAAATATCAATTATCTCGTCTTCATATATACCCTGATAATATTGAAGTATTGATTAGTAATTGAAAATTAGTTACTGAATTTAGACTATTCCCAAGGACATTATTGCAAATATTTCAGGAGTAATACCACAAGTTATGAAAGTACCAAAACGTCTTGATGAATACTCTGCTGAAGAACTTAATGAATTTCCTAAACTTTTTGATTGGTTAGTCGCCTATAGAATTGTATTTTATGTCGGTTGCTATTTTATTTGCTTGTTTTGGGTCAAACCCTATAAAATCAATTGTTTTTAAATGTAAGTAGTTCAGAAAACCATGCAAATGTCTGGTACTTATGAATTTGTTTGAAAAGGCTCTGAAGTTAACGTAGTTCAAATTGATTGAAAATAAAATATTGGTTATTTTCGGAAATTGTTAATTAAGAAGATTATTCACTCTACATTTGAAAAACGTCTTTAAGTCTATTAAATTAGTACATGTTTATTTTTTCACTGAAAATTAGTTGACAAAAATTGTATAAGTAGACAAATTGACATGAGCTCAGAAGCTGACACGGAAGAAAACATCAGTTAAATTTATCATTAACACTTTCCCAACATACTTCAGTTGATGTAACGCATTGGCGTACATAGTGATTTTACATGAGCAACACAGTCTATTAACTTCTGTACCGATGAAACTTACTAGTTGTCTTCGCAATAAGCTTTATATCAATATTTCAGGTGTCTTTTTGTGTTTTCTCTGGTCTTCATTCAATGATTGTCACTTCACTTTGACCCAATGATTAAAATAATGACTTGGGTCAAAGTTTTGCATCACTCAAATAGTGTCTCCACCCCCTCCCCTCATGTACAAAAGTTCGACGTAAAACTTAATACATAAATGTTTATTTGTCTACTAAGACGCATTGGTTTAGTTTGTAAAATCCATATTCATATTTGTAAATCTATTAGAATAACCATATACTCACTAGCAACTAATATCGACGGTTGACTAGTGGATTTTATTTATGTCGGATGTAAGATATTAGAAAATTGTCATGCGATATCGTGGATTCATTGAACCTAAGAATGTAAACCTGACTCAGTGGTCTAAAAATTGGTCACCTCGAAACCTGTAGGTCCTGGGTTAGATTCCCAGTGGCTTCATTTATGCACACTGATAAGTAGTTCCATACCGGTTCGGAAAAACTCCAATGCTTCCTAACTAAGATCACTCCGTGATGTAAAAGATAAAATTTAACAATCTTCACAGACCCCGTTTATTAAAATAATTTCATGATTAAATATTTAAATTCATTGTCAGTTATCTGACCTAATCTTAATTTAACTATAACGATTGGTATTACTCACAATCCTTCGTCATTAAATTACTATTACATTAATGCGAAATCTAAAGTGTAGTATATGTATACAGTAATGCTATTCCATGTTACTTACATATATTCTCTGAGTGATATTTTCTTTCGAAAAATTCTTTCAGGCCCGAAGATTTTCATGTTGCCCCGCTTAGTTCAATTGCAAAGAAGCTGATAACCAGAGGATCGAAATAACATGCTGATATTGTATTACTGCATATCTGTATATTATGTATTATAGTAATCTAACTGTTTCCTTTTTATGGTTTTGTTGTCGTTTTAGAGCATAAAGCTAACATTAATAATGAGTGTGAAGTTCAAAGAATTACAAATGGAAAAGATTAGATTTATACCGTAAAGCATACTTTGTAATCATTCTGTTCTTGTGCTTTATCCACATGAACTGAGATGTACTATCATCATGCCTGGATGTGTGTATACTGATTACAATGTATCTATTTTGATAAATAGTCGACAAAACTATGTTATAGTGACGACCTTCAGGGAACTGGTCATATTAAAGATGTCGTTTATCGAATTTCGTTCAAGATTCAAGCCTTATTGAAGTATAGCAGGTATCTTATTGAAAAATAAGGAAAAGTTGCTGATAATTAGTTCCTAGAATGGTTAAAATTGTAAAAATTATCTTTGTTCCAACCACACAGAAAATGTAACATATTGCGTTGGCTAAATCACAAGAAATACCTGTATCTAATACAGATTATTTCTGGACGTACTTCATGTGATTCAGGGCATGGTCAAGGGTGTTTTTGTGACTGAAAATTATTCACTTACTCTATATACATATACTAACCCTAAAAATTCTAACCTCAAATCCTGTATCTACCAGGGCTCCTAATGCCTAACCTTAACTTTTGTTCGTCCACCAATCATGTTAAAATTGTTTATTTACCTAAGTTTCATTACTTTATTCTAAATCGCTTTGTAACTAAACACTTTTTTGGTTGAGTGATAGTCTCTTAAAGTTATCTCTGTAATTGATTGAGGTGATGACTCGACTTTCAATATCTAACGATAGCTTAGTATTTAAAACACTTATGGTATATACAAATATATTGCAACTGAACTGAACGTAATTTATTTAATGAAGCTTTAGGTTTTCACGACTCCGAATGGGCCAGGTTATTGAAAAAATGTTTAAATACCACATACGTACGTGAAAAAATACTCTATATACGACGTCAGATAATACTGGCACCCATATATCTTCTAATGAATTGACTTACAAGCAGACAAGGGGTAATGTGATAATGGTTGTTAGGTAGGTTATTTTTGATTGTGTGCGAAGTCCGGTAAACATGGGACTTCCAAACCAGCTATTTATCATAGGATATGTGTTTCATGTCAGGTCGTACTATAATCTGATAGTGATACCTAACCCTTAAATGCCCTGGTACGACCGAAGGTGGGAGAGTCCGCTCTCCCTCTCGAAATGCTCTCACATGGCCATGCGTTTACAGCCACTGCGAGGAAAGTCCTACCCACTGCCTTTTCACAGCAGGCGTGTTGTTTAAGGAATTGAGAGGACGAAGAGCGAATGTCTGGCTCTTTGACTGGGTTGATGAGTATGGGGGGTCCACCTAGGAAATTTGAAAAACTCTGATTCCGAACCAGTGGTGCACATGAGCTCCAGAGACCTGGTGGAACAAATGGTGTATGAACCTACTGTTGATCACCGGCTATCATGGGATGGCATCTCCTGACGCTGCTCCACTGCCTTGTGGGTCAGACCTTTAGGTCAGAGGCTCAGGATGTGGCCCTCTAAGAAAACCATCTGCTTCGGTTTAGCACCCGGGCAGTGCCATAGCCCACAAACAAATCGAGTGACTTGTGTGGCGCATATGAATTCGGTGCTCCTTTGTACCAATATTTATGTTCGAATAAATAAAAAGAAGTGATACTTAACTAAACACCTTCAGCTTGGTATGGTTAGTATCACTGTTGAATGGTTAAAAGATTGTTCATTTTAGTGGGCTATTCACGACTACAAATATATACAGTGTACATCAGAAACCAGCTACAAAAGGGATGGGATTATTATATCAATATATACTAGTTACATAGTAATGTGTGAGTGAGATAACATAGTTAAAAGATCAGCAAAGAAACTAGTATTATTGTTTAGATGATATTTCTTTTTTGGAGCCGTTAGGTTCCCAGAACTCACTTGAAAAGTGACCTAATTTTGTAATTTTATTTTGAAAATTTGAATCCCAAAAGCGCTCTTTTCACTGTTATGTCCCGATAAGCATAATAAATCCATAATGGGATCCATTTGTGGACCAATACTATGTGTATATTTTTATCGTATAATTTTTAAATAACTAAACTATTCATATTCATGTCCCTCTTATTATGAGCTTTGTTTTGACCCATAGACTATTATTATACGATTTACTATTCTTTTATTATGCCCTGTCTATTAATTACTACCTCCCTCATTCACAGCCATTTTTGGCCAAATCTCGTATAAATGTTGTTTCCTATTTTATTGGTACGATGTGGTCTGTCTGGTTGATATATAAACCGAGTATATTTGAAATAAATGATTCATATTGTAGAGGCTGAAATCGGTGTTCTGGACTTAAATGGCTGGGATAGGCACGAAACAGGGTCAATAAGGACTCTAGACTGCTCATACAAGTTTACGCGTCATTGATCCAATCGATAAGTCACTGCTCTCTAATTGGCGGTATCGTTACGTTATACATTAACAGGGAGCACAGGTCACAAGTTACAGCATTCACTTTCATGTATTTCCCACTTGGGAGGATCTTAAACGCTATTGGTTCGTTGTGTCTTTTAGTATGCTATTTTATAACCCTTTCCAAGGACGGTTTTGTGCTGTATATATACATTTTGATTTGTGTCTGTTTTTGTCGATCGTTCTTCTGGCTTTTTGCAGAATATAATTCCCCGTTCAGATTTCGACTTCTCTCTCTAATTAGCAGGGCTGGGACGCAATAGAATAGCTAGTTTATTAGTTTTTTTTTTTACCACAAATCTTTGTTTCATTCGCAGGCTAAGTAAACTCGTAACCACTTTAAACTTAGCATTCTTCAAATCGAATCCCTTGATAAATGACAATAAACTCTCTCAAAATAGAACTTGTTTCCAAAACCAATCAGACTTAATTAAGTTGTCATTTTTTATTTTACTTCAAATAATAGTTCTTTTTATATAGATAAAATGAAATAGATGAAAAATAATGAAATAGTGAGTTATAAATAACCAAAACCAAAAAAAAAGAACATGATGTTTATTAACTTATTGATGATGTAATCTTTATTGTTTTATACTTTAATAAAAGATAAAACAATAACAGAAGAATGATTGTTTTGTTTTCGACATTCATTTGAATAATGAACTTTTGTACAGATTAAAACAAGGAAACCGTAAGATTATAATATTTTTTAGATTTATTTCATTTAAAAAACAAACTTATCATTACTGAGAAAATCTATGAAGGTACAATATTATTATCTTAGTAACCATGAACATGAGAAGTTAATATATGTGATATTATTAGTGAATAATTATATAATTTTCATTAGATAATGAACACCTTGACAACAAAATAAAATAAAACCAAAAAAAGGAACAGGTTTTTTTTATTATAAATATCAATCATTTAGGATGATTAAACTGATATGTAGAAAATTTTTTATTATTTTTTTATTCGTTTATTATTAAGTTTATCGTATTTTTTTATAACAAAACCTATTTTGTATGGTTTCATTATTGAAATATGAAATAATTCCTTTATTGAAGTAAGTAAATTTGAACTCTTGTTACCTACCTAACTACTTACACACACACATACATACATACATACAAAACATGGACAAATGGAGATGAAATGGAAAGAACAACACAACAATATATTTCATAAAACCCCGAAGAAGAAGAATTTACAAATAGATAAATCAAACATGCAAAAGTAGAGAATAGAATCACTGTACAATGATCACTTAACTTTTCCTTCTTTAGATAAATTTGAAAAGAAATTAATTTTTAGGGCAATATCTGATTTTGTAATGGATGTTGCATTTTTTGATTTTGTTGGAACTTTATGAAAATTATGATGTGTATTAACAGTTGTTGTGTCTGTTGTTTTACTATGACTACTAATAAGATTGTTAGTAGTATCAGTTGTGTTCAATGTTGTTTTTGTTTTACCAATTGATAATTTCTCTTTTTCATTGGTTGTATTCTCTATTGATTTTGTTAGTGGAGGATTAGAGGTTGAGATTGGTGGTAACGGTGATGTTGATGTGGAGGATTTTTTATCTTTTACAATGAAAGGATTTGATTGTTTCACATTTGATTGTATTATTTTTGATGCACTATTTTTTTTCTGAATTTTAAATATAGATGATGACGAAGTAGAAGTGTCCTTTTGTTGTTTGGGGATGGTTACAACTGTTTCCGATTTACTTGAGGATCTGGAATTTGGTTCACTTGTTATACTAATTTTAGGTATAATTGACGGACTATCTGATGATATTGACTGTTGACTATTTTTATGCCGTTGCAAAACAAAACCTTTACCACTCTCTTTACGTTTTAATTTAAGTGATAGGTCTAATTTATTTTTATGCGATGTTGACGGATCTGATAAGTTTTCATTAGCTTTATTTTTAGTTTTAGTTCCATTATTACTAGTACTATTAGTAGTGGTGTCATCTTTTCGTGTTTTACCAAAGAAACTGGTTTTTCTAAATATACCTGAAGGTTTCTTCATTAGTTTTGGTGAACTTTCTTTACTAACTGTTGGGGGTGGTGTTGGGCTACTTGATAATAGTTTATGTCCAGTGACTGGAAGTTTAGGTCGTTTAGTTTCATTTTCAAATGATCTATTTATACCATGTATAGACAAACTTGGGTGTCTTGAATGCATTATAGGCGAGTGTTGTAGTACAACACCCATACGTTGTAATGCTATAATCGCATTTACTGCTTTCTAAAAAGAGAATAAATGCAAAAAAATCAAACTGTCATACGAAAGCTCTATTTGATAAATAAAACAGCAGTGATAACATGAATTAGGCAAACATTAGAAAATCTCTTAGTAATTCTAGATTTCAAATCGATTCCATTGGTAATTTTTATTCAAATATATTGATAGTTTGGGTCTTCCCATTGATGTTTAGGACTATAATTGATCACTCTCTGCACTTAGTAGCTTAGTGGATAACGCGATGGCGTTTGAACAGAAAGGTAATGGGTTAAATTCTCTCAGTGACAATCAAATTTGGGATGTGGTGGGTTCATCTGACGAGTCCCAAACGGGACGAAACGCGCGTCCTAGATTCCACTGTTAGCCACTATTTATCTCTTATTACAATCTCATTGTTTTTCCTAAGACTGGTTAAGAGGTTTAGCTTTTTGTATGCGACTGACATTAATGTTTCGAAGTTACCGTATGTATTTGGTGTTGTTAGTTGTTAACTAATCCTAAAATACGAGTCTAAGTGCTTTCATAGCTGAAAAGCTATACAACATCGGAAAGTATTTTACAGTTGTTTCATTATTGTGTTGCTACTCCTGAATACGGTTTACTCACGACCTCAGGCACAGTCACACATAGTTTCTGTAGTTTTTTCGCCGATATATGTCAGTGATGGAAAGCGTTTTATAACTGAGTTAATCTTCACAAACCACTCAGTTAAATAATAATTATTTGCTATTAATTAGCTAAGGAGATGGTATCAATATTCCAAGTGACTTGATATCGCGTAGACTATATTGAGTTGGTTGGAGGTGACCGGTAGGACAATAGAGACTTAAGTTTCTTGCTAGTTGACACTCATCGGCAAGGTGCACCTACAATCTTGAGAGGACTGAAACTATCTTTAACTACGTAAAATGACACGCTATTTAACACCTCTGCATGATCGTAAGAAACAGACAGAATTAGGAAATGTGGACCACTGATTAGTGATGGGATTATAAGTCGCTTACTAACTGAAGACCGGTCTCTACATGTTAAGGCTCAGATACTCAATACTGCGAATTTTCTAATTTAGATGAAACGACTATCCAATGCAGTCTACTTTATTTCGATCCATGATGCAAACTAACTTCAAATGAGAAAATATCTATAAACCACCTATTTTAGCAATGACGTCCTTAACTGAAATTATTTACCAATCAGATCGTGAATAGTATCCCAACATATGCACCACAGGTAAAATATTTATTTACAAAATAAATGGTACAGGACATCATATTTGATAAATCATGCAAACTGAACATAATATACAAACTAAATAATGAAGAAAATGCTAATTCTTTCACATAAACACTTACTTGCCATTTACGTCGATAAACAAAATGTTTCAGACGTTTTTTACTAACTGTTCCAGAACGTGATGGTGTTTTTTTCTTTTGCTATTAGAAAAACATGTAAAGAATTCAGAAAATAAATGTCAAGAATTAAAAAGATGATCAAAGAAATTACAAAGAGAACAACCGTGTAAAGTGAATTGTGTACATTGAATGGCGATTTTCAATGAAATACAACGTAGTTTGAAAAAAATGTATATGTATATTTGTAGTCTCAAAAGTTTTCTCTTCAGGAGTAAACTCGATGGTGAACAGCTTTTTTAAAACTTATATTTAGAGCTAATAGATCTTGCCGATTACAAGTTATCATTAGAAAAGATAGATTTTGGGATCGTTCGAAATATTACTAGTAATGATAAAAACATCATGTCTATTGATTAAGTCATTGACTAACCAAACTTAGCAGCTCAGTGTATAACTTGTTGAGCGTTTGGAATGAAATGTACTGGGTACGAGTCCTAAAGTAAACATGAGTACTAGGATGTGAGTATCTCCTTTAGGACATCAGTCCGTGAAATTATTGATTGTTGGACTGATCCACTATTAGTAAGTGCAGACTACCTTGTTTGGTCATGCGCGATTGGTGTAAATAACAAATGACATGGCACAAAATCAACGTAAATGCACTCACTCTTTGTCTCATCCTAGATTGTTTTATACTTTTTATTTCAAGAATTTATTCCTCATGAATCCTATTTTTGATGCCTAATGTTTTCTACCACAAATGGTGTAGTAACTGCTTTTACTATTCTGACATTTATTTTGATAATACGATGTAGTGAACTGGATACATGCACATATTTGCCAGTTTTTACGTTACTTATGATCAAATGACTAAGTGAATAAATAGAAAACTATTGAAAACCAGAAATTGATAGAGAAGCTGTTTTGTTGTACTACTGAACTCCTCATCAGTGTACAACGACTCCATACTTATTACTATTAGACTAAATGAACTGTAGAGATTAGTTCAATGTAAAGAAAGTATGTGAGAGAGAAGTTTAGTTTTCAATAATTTTCCATCTAATTATCAGTCTATGATTTAGAATATTTCTACAGGAAATAATATATTTTTAATAGTTGAGAGCATGGATCAATTGAAGCTAGACCATCATGGAAAACCTGGAAACCTCGAATCTCACGAGGCGTGATCGTGGATACGCAATACCGAGGAGTCCCACAATAGGACGAAACGAACTCCCAGTGCTTTCAGGTTTTTTCATGGCGATCTGGTTTCAATTGATTTATGATCTCAACTATTAAAAAATTACTATAATATCCACAAAACCCCTTCTGATACTAATATATTTTTTGTTTACTAATTACAAAATAAAGAGGATTATACATTATGAAACATTTACCTTTAACCATTGATGTTGTAAACATTCAGTGGCTGTCATTCGTTTTCTATAACCAAAACAAAGAAGACAGAAGTGATATGTTATATATATAAAGGAAAGAAAATAGAAATTAATGGCTATATGTTATAGAAAATGAAAAGAAATATAAGTTCTATTTTATTGGTCTCATTTTAAGTATCAAGTAAGTCAATTTTAACATTGTTCTTGATATATAGCTGTGTTTGTGTTTTAATTCTCTCTTATTACAACCCAGCTATTCCTATTGCTTAGTATTCTTGGACACCAATTCACTCGATAAGTCCCCAAATCAGAACACAGTTGAACAGGAACGAAATTGTATTCCAAATAACAAGGGTAGATGGAAGTAAGACTCACAATAGGAAAAAAGTTGGTATATTTATAGTTTCTATATGAGATTCTAGAGTGTTCTCCAAGTATTGACTAGCGCTGATTACATAGGAAACAGCCAACCAGTGTGTACCAACACAATCGTGCACGGAATGTGTTTTAATCCAATATGTGTCCCGTTAACAGTCTGTTTCTAAAAATATATATTATTGATTTATCATGTAGAAGTTTATGCACTCAGATTTGTTTGATCTGCAAATTATTTTGTTTGTATATTAAGGCTATGATAATATCTAGATACTTGGATTGAATTAGCTGAAGCTACAATCTAACCCAGTGATCTATTCGTTTAGCCACTTACCTAAAACATTTGGATCATTTACTCGCTAACTGTAAAAAATATTATTATTATTACTGTCCTTGTTTTGCCTGCAGAATGCTTGACTGACATATACTTTGTACTGGAACACTGAATCGAACGAGAACACAAAGAATGGTGGTACGGATTTATCTGACCACGGAAGTAAATCAAAATCATGAATGAATAAACTACAAAGTCGTGTATAGAAGACAGCTGACAGACGCATTCCAAGTGAGGAACGGAGTCGAACAAGGCTCTTTACTTTCCCCCTTTCTATTCTGGTGGTTGACTGGATTATGAAGGCCTCCACATCTGAAGGAAAGCACGAGATACATTGGACAGCTGGGATGCAACTAGACGACTTGGACTCTGCAGATGACCTAGCTCTTCTATCCCATACACACGAACAAATGCAGATGAAGACAACTAGTGTAGCAGCAGTCTCTGTATCAGTAGGCTTCAACATGCACAAAGGAAAAAGCAAGATCCTCAAATGCAACACGGAAGACACCAAACCAATCACATCTGATGGAGACTTTCACGTACTTGGGAGGCATCATCGACGAACGAGGAAGATTCAGTGCAGATATAAAGGCAAGGATTGGCAAAGCAAGGGCAGCATTCCTGTAGTTGAAGAATATATGGAACTCAAAACAATTGTCAACCAATATCAAAGTCACAATCTTCAATACGAACGTCAAGACAGTTCTACTCTACGGAAATGAAACTTGAAGAACTACCACAACCATTATCAAAATAGTATAAGTATTTATAAACAATCTTCTACGCAGGATACGGAATTTCCGTTGGCCAGATATCATGAGCAGCTTCCAGATGAAGAGGAAATTAAGAAAAGACGTTGGGAGTGGATAGAACACATTACGGAAATCAACAAACCGCATCACGAGGCAATCCTTCACTTGGAATTCTGAGAAGAAACAGAAAAGTGGAAGGCCAAAGAAAACACTGTGTCAAGAATCGGAAGAAGACATGAAAGGGATGAATAGCAATTGGAAAATTTGTCCAGGACAGAGTTGGATGGCAAACATTGCTGGGTTGTTTATACTCCTCCACGAGGGGTAACAGGCATAAGTAAGTTTCTTTTCATTGATTTCTACTCCGAACTCATTGAGAGTGATTGCTTGTAGTTGTGTTGAATAAAGTATTATCTAGTTTATACTGACTCTGGTTCTCCATTCTGGGCCGTGTATCCTGGATCTGATATAAAGTAACTAGTCTTATTATCGTAATAACATATTATTGTAGTATACTTTGTAAGAGAGAAAAAAATATTTTAAACAATGCGTTATGTCAGTATGAATTACCTTGGATCTTTCACTAAAAGTTTCCGAATAAAATCCATTGCATCATTTGAAATTTCTGCAAATTCTGTATAATCAAAATTGTATTTCACTCGTATAATATTAGCTAATGTTTCTCCTTGACTTTCACCCATAAATGGGGACAATCCAGAAAGCCTAATAATAGGTAATAAGTAATTTGGAAAAGAAACATAAGTTATAAATAAACATTGATAAACAGTGGTTTCAAAATGTGCTCTTTATGAAAAATCAGTTATTACTGAAAACAGGAGTCAGACAAGGCTGCTTGCTCTCCCCTTTTATCTTTCTTCTGGTGGTTGGCTGGATTATGAGGGATTCCACATCTGAAGGGAAGCACGGGATACAAAGCACGCCACAAATGTTTGTTAGTTGAAATTATCAAGTCTCATTAACACGACAAGATGAAAATAATAAAAAAAAGATTGATCAGTATGATAATAATTATAATGAGAAAGTAAACATTAAGAATATACTTCGAAAAGAGAGTGTAAGGTATATATGATAGAATGGTGAGATTCAAAGTCTAAAGGTAAATAGTGAATATATCAGTGTCAATGCAACCAATTCTAAGCTTTCATTCAAAAAAACTATTTTATACAGATTGAATATATATAACTCATAAACGGTTACGGTGTCTCTTTACTGTAAACAGAGACTTGTTAAATGACCAGTTCATTGTTCCCTCACCAAAAGGCATGAAGTTAATACTGGCAGAGTTATTTTTTGTGACCAAACAAGATATAAAGTCAGTTAGTCAGTCAGTCATCAGTAACCTAGATCCTAGCATATAGATGCAATGGTTCAAGTTGCCATAACACATTAAAACATAGAGATGAAATCATTAAGATGGGCGGTATAAGTAGTGATAATATCGGAATACTAAAAAATTAAACATAGTGTATCTGAATACAAAGGAAAAAATGAATTAGCAGAATAGAAAAGTATAAGATAATTTCCAGACTCAAGATCTAAGTGACGGCAAAGGATGGATAAATTGTTGCCATTGAGACTTATTTTGAATTATGTCATCTAACGCCTCTAATCATTAATTCCGGTTACTATATGGTCCCCAACCTGATAGTCTGAACTTACTGGCACGGGCTAGATTATATTTGTAACCGATCGGATCACACTTTCAATATCAATATAACTGATACTTACTTTGCATTTCTTTAAAACACGAATTAAATATACAAATTGAACGAAAGACAGAACAAAACATGTTTTCACTGTTTAAATCATGAACTGATCTTGGTTAGATCACAACTGAAAACCTGGAATGGGCGAACTGACGTCTCGTCCTACTATAATAGGACTGCTCGAGTGTGTATCCATGATCCGGTATCCGAGAACCGAACCTAGAAATTTCGGTTTTGAGCCCAAAACCTAACATCCAAATTACTGAGCCCGCACTCAGTGTTATTAATGTCTGGCTTTCAACAATTCACTATATTGTTTAACAGTCATCCATAGCTTTTTGTGGACAACTGTCGCACGCCCGAGATAATTGAAAACAACTGGTCACAGATTTTCACTAGAATTCCAGAAATCTCATCGTAATTATTTGTATAGCGGGAATTTATCGAGATCACAGAACTTTCATGGCTCGATTCCCCAATGAGGAATAGTGGATGCATCATGTTAATAAGTTTCATACTAGGACAAAACAGCTGTCGACTGACAAAATAATGGTAATTACAAAACCGTATTCTGTTCTATTAAACTACAGATTATTACTAATATACATAAACACCTATCTCGTTTCTTTTCTTTAGAAATTATATCAGAAACTATATAGACTTACATTACATAACATATTACACCAAGTGACCACATATCAGCTGCAGGTGAGACTGGTTCATATGAGATTACTTCAGGTGAGACAAATTCTGGTGTACCAAACAGAACGCATAAATTTTGATCTTGATAAAATCTAGCTAATCCAAAATCAATAATTTTTGTTTTAAAACTGGTCGCTGATAAACACAATATATTTTCAGGCTATAATGAAAAAAATGTAAATGGATGAATGAAGAGGAATATTTATTTTTTTTTGTGGTTATTAGTTCACTTACAGTATGGATACATTTATATGTGATAGATTGTGAAAATTGCTCTATTCAAGTTGAACAGTTTAATCTTAAAGCTTTTCACAACTTACTAGCCAATATCATTAGTATAAACTTAAAACAAGAATAAGTTATAAGAATTCCTTTAAAACTGAACGACATTTTATTCAGTTTAAAGTTGTTTTTCTTGTGATATGTCTAGATAGACAATGAAAACTTCATGATTAAATCACTTCATTCTGATGATACAATTTCAATGAAATCATTTTGTACCACTGTAGTGAAGGAGAACACAGATGAGGACAACCGAATTATATGAAGCACAAAATTGCAGAGTTACTTGGTAAAATAGAAGAACCATACTATAATACTTAATTTGCAAAATGTTCAATAATTGTCTCGAACTTCGTTGTTCTTGCATTTCCATACTAACTGCTTTCCATCCCCGTTCTTCCTTTCTTGATCTTCCCCATCTTCTGCTGCCATATACTACTGATATCAATATAAGTAGCACGCACCACACTACAAACTGTTTACATTATCTATGGAAAATTTTAACAATAATAATTTGTGTTATATTTTATCAGTAGTGTTAATTGATGTTTGATAATTTAGTGTTGGATGGGTTTTGTGGATATTATAGTTGTTAGGATAGTCGGAAAAATATACCAATAATTATCGTGTTAAGTCTATGGTGGCCTTGGACCTTAAATGTACATTTCTTGTTGGTCGATGTTTACTTCACTTGTTAAATATTGTACAAATGTTGTTTCCTATTTTATGGTACGATGTGGTTTGTTTGCTTGGTATATAAATAGAGTATGTTTGAAATACAATGATTCATAACTCAGAGGCTGTCATTTGTGTTCTTGACTCATCTGGCTAGGACAGACAGCGAGGCAGGGACAATCAGGGCACTAGGTCGTCCTTACGTGTTTACGTGTCACTGTCACAGAAGCGATCGATATAAACGCTGCCTAGCATAACCTGCAGTCACACCCGTTACAACAATAGTAATGTCAATGGTTAAGATCATGCGTCAGTTGAAGCTAGACCACCATGGTAAACCTGGAAGCACTGGACGGCCGTTTCATTCTATTGTGGGACTCCTTAGCAGTGCTCATCCACGACCTCGCTCCCCGCGAGATTCGAACCCAGGACCTACTGGTTTCGAGCGCGAGCACTTAACCACTAGACCACTGAGCCGTCTAGTGCTTTTCCATGGTGGTCTAGCTTCAAATGATTTATGATCTCAACCATTAAAATTATGGAATCGTTGGTTGAAACTAGAGTGGGTCTATTGTTGATACATAAATGGTTAATGTATCACTCAATTTCGTGAATTAGTTGAAGGTAGACATTAACACCGTTGGATGCCGGCCAGCTCAGTGGTCTAATGGTTAAGCGTTCGCGCGCGGGACTTATAGGTTCTGGGTTTGAATCTTGCAGGAGGCGATGACGTGGATGCACACTGCTGAGGAGTACCACTATAGAACGAAACGGCCATCCAGTGCTTCCAGGTTTTCCATGGTGGTCTAGCCTCAACTGACTCATGATCTTAACCATTGAAATTTAGTATTTATATAAAATTTTCTTAATAATTCATTACGTTACATTCAATAAAGCAGCAGATCGAAATCAAGTCACATGATCAGAAATGGGAAATTAACTAATTAATCAACTAATTAATGAATGAATTAATTAATCGATTAATTAGTTTCTTAAAATTAATTAATATATGCAATTAAAATCTCTTTGATTGATAGTATTTTCAAATTAGAATAACGTATTTGAATTTATGTATATTTTAATGAACTATACCATAGATAATGTTATATTATGGAAACAATTAATTATTGAAATGTTTTATATTATTACATATTATTAATATGCCCCTATCAATGTAATTGACAGGATTAAATATTATGTAATTTTTATGAACGAGTAATATATTTTGTTTTTGTTATATCCCAATGAGAATAATGAATGGTAACTGTTGAAATCTATTTCTGGATTAATACTATACATTTATTTTTATTGTATAATTATTAAATAACTAAACTATGCATATTCATGTTCCTCTCATTATAAGCTTCATTTTGATTTATGAACTATTATTATACGATTTACCATTCGTCAGTTATGCCCAATCTATTAATTACAGTCTCCCACATTCACAGCCACTTCTGGCTAGATCTTGTACAAATGTTATTTCCTATTTTATGGCACGATGTGGTCTGTTTGGTTTGTATATGAACCCAGTATGTTTGAAATAAATGATTCATATCGCAGAGGCTGAGATTGGTGTTTTGGACTTAACAGGCATGGCTAAGCAGGAAGCAGGACCGATAAAAAGACTCTAGACTGCTCGTACAGGTTTTATGTGTCATTGGTCCGTTCGATAAATCAATGTTGTCTAATTGGCGTTATCACTAAGTTATACATTGATAAGGTCATATAACCACAAGTTATAACAGTTTTAAAAGGATTTATGATAAATAATCATATTGTGATGTGTGCTACTGATGTCATCAGATTATAAGTAGTATGTATCATCAATTGAAGGTGAAATGCCTAGCAGCAGAAGGTTAAGAAAATGGAAGAGAAGAGAACGAGAACAGAGAGTGATCGGTATGGATACGAAGGAACAACAAAGTTTGAGACAATTGATGGATATTTTGGAAATGAAAGATTGAATGTATAGTTTTCACATTTGAAGAAAACAACTCTGTAATTTCATGTTATGAGACTTTTGGTCGTTCCCACCTGTTTACGTTCATTAAACTATCCCTAGTGAAGTAATTACATAAAAAATATTGGTAAATAATTCATCAACACAACAATAATTAAAAGTAAAACAAAAAACAAAAAAACATTTCAGTGACAGCTGAAATAAAAACAAAACATGATTTATCATTAGTGAAGTTAATAAAATATCTGTTACGTAACTTGCAGTTCTCTCTCTCTCTATATATATATATATATATATAGTTTGGTTTATGATCAGGTTTCTTTTATTTTGATTGAGATCATGAACTGATTGATGTTAGACCATCACCTTTGGAAACTTGGAAGCACTGGACGGCCATTTCGTCCTATTGTGGGACTCCTCAGCAGTGCGCATCCACGATCCCGCTCGCGGGATTCGAACCTAGGGCCTTCGGTCTCGCGCGCGAACGCTTAACCTACTGAGTCACTGAGCCAGCATCCAATTGTGATAGTGTCTAACATCAACCAATCCACGAAATTGCGCGACCAACTTCCATTGTACTGAGGTAGATACCTGTTTCTACCCGACATCATCAATTTTTTTTCATATTTTCTACATGTATTAAAAGAATCATTAATGTCACTGTTCATATCTTGTTAAACTAAATGTAATTTCATTATTTGTCTAGTGTTATTAACTGCGAACATAAAAGTAAATTTTTCTTTAGAAATAAATGAATTTATTGTCCCAGGAAGTATTTTCACCATAAACTGATATGAGATGGAATACAACTGTTCAGTGAGATAATAATAAATTGAATGGTTGAATGGTTTCATTTGTTTTAGACTATACAAACCTGTGATTTATCTTCAGAGATGAACAATTTCTCATTAAAGTGATTATGAAAAGTTAGATCTAACTATTCAAAATACTACATTATTGTATTTGTTTGAATGTAAGTGAATAAACAGTTTTCTTTCATTTGGTTTGAAAGCGATTTATCAGCACTCAAGACTAAACCAATATAATATGGATTATTACTCAATGATTAATTAATATAAGTATTTCAGTTCAACAGGAGGTCAGTTTCAGCCCGAACAGCACATTTGTAACGTCTCATCCTATGAAACTGAGTGACGTGGATTTATACTTTACAGGAAACACTAGTGTCCACAATATTGTAGGTACATCTTAGTGATAAGTACCAGCTAACATAAATCCTAAATCCAGGGTTTCTGGCTGAATGCTTTCAACCACTTTACTCTTTATTCATTACATCATTGTAGCTAAAGCATTCGTGTATTATAGTAATCAACGTATGTTTCAGCAGATAAGTTTTTATTCAGAAATTCACAATTCCAAGTTCACTTAGTTCATGAAATGAATTTTTTATCATCTATTTTCGTCAATGATTTCAATATACCTTTGAACATGATTGAATGAAAAATGACGAGAGACTAAAAGTTTTACAACCTTAAATAATGATGAAAAGACTTCAAAAATGATATCATTATCATTTTTAGCCGAGTTTCACGTTGACATTAACACTACACAGCAAACCATCAAACAGTTTGTTGTATCTGGATAAAGTACTGTTACTGATTGCTACATGTTATATCTCGCTGACGTAACTGATTACTTGCCCCTTGTATAACTAAATAAGGAATAATACAACTTGACGTAATGAATAATGCAAGATTGGAGATAAGGATTTATTTTCAGAAGGGGTTTTGTGGGTATTATAGTAATTTCAATAGTTGAGATCATGAGTCAATTGAAGCTAGATCACCATGAAAAACCTGAAAGCACTGGATGGTCGTTTCATCCTATTGTGGGGCTCCTCCGTAGTGCGCATCCACAATTCCGCCTCGCGAGATTTGAACCCAGGATCTACAAGTCTCGCATGCGAGCGCTTAACTATTAGACCACTGAGCTGGCCGGTATCCAACGATATTAATGTCTAGCTTCAACTAACCCATGAAATTGAGTGACACATTCACCATTTATGTATGAACAATAGACCCACTCTAGTTCCAACCAACGATTCCATAATTTTAATGGTTGAAATCATAAGTCAATTGAAGCTAGACCACCATGGAAAAGCATTAGGCGGCCATTGAAATTACTATAATATCCACAAAACCTTTCTGATATGATTCCATAATTGATTGACTAAGCATGTCAAAATTACCTGGAACGATATATGATTCACTTATTTAGTCAAAATACAGATTCCAACATATAGAACTAAGCAGTAGTTGATTTAAATTAACCAATAATTAAATACATGTATACAGTTTATAACAATAACAAACTTATCTATAATAGCTAACAAGATGAAAAATTCCCTGAGTTCCTAACTCAACTACATAGCACAACTGATAAAAGTTGAGTTTACCTTTAAATCAAGATGTATCACATTTTGTGAATGCATATATTCAACACCTTGAAGTATTTCATGCATAAATTTTATACATCTAGATTCATTTAAATTAAATGATTCATCAATAATTCGTTCAAATAATTCACCCCCTGTAATCCTGTAATAATAAATATATGGAAATAATATCAATATGATCAAGGTGAAATATAAGTTAAATTAAAACGAAATATCAACAGTGCGAATCCATAACAACGTACGCGGGACTTGAACCAAGGAGCTTCGATCTTACGCGTGAACGCTTAACCTCTAGACCATTGAGCTGGACAGTATCCAACGGTGTTAATGCCTAACTTCAATCGATCTATACTAGGACGAAACAGCCATCCACTGATTATAGGTTTTCAATGGTGGTCTAACATCAATCGATTCATAATCTCAATCATAAACTTAACAATCTCCAAATGTTAGACATTCAATTTGAATATGCTAAATACGCTTACTATTAATGAGTTTAACTAAATAGATCCAAAAAATGTATCATGGATAAAGTAGTTCAATGAGAAGTTGAAGTTTATTCGAACTAGATCATATAATATGTTTTTCTTTTCAAGAAATCTGACCACATATTACTTCGTTGAAGTATTCATATGTGGAATGAAAGTCAAACATGTTACAATGTGATAGAATGGGAAGAAAAGTCAAAATTCGATTGATTTACTCATTATGAGTTTTATTCGACATTACTTTCGTTTTAATTCAATGTAATGATTGTTCAGTGTAGTATTCGGTTTTGTTTTCCCGTATGACCTTTTTGTTCTGTATAACATACGATATCATTGTATTCCACTGACATGAACTATGCACAGTCTTTGATTTGTTATAACTGAGTATTTTATCCTAGTTATTAATCAAAGTGTGTGAACAATCAATGTATAAACGAGTGTATTTTGTCGTATTTGTCGTTGTTGTCATCGTGTTTTGGAGTTTAATAATGCTTCACTTATACCAGTCTTTGTGTTCTTACTTTCGCGTCGTGGAAATTGCAGAGGTTCCTCATTTCGAGTATAAGTGATAATCGTTTCTGACACAACAATCAACGACGACCAAACATAACAAGTATCGTTCAATCGACAAGACATATTAAGATGTGAGGTGTTCAAGTCTGTTATTGATTCCCAAGCTTTCTATACACGACCCTAATCGGGCATTCTATTGAAAAAGACTAAGAATGAGAATGGTTATTTATTCTCTGGAGAAGTAGTTTTCACTGAGTCACGAATCGTCAAAAAATCTAATTTTTCTATTCATTGGGATATTACAAATATATTATTTATTTATAAGAATGAGAAAGTTCATCGCTTAACCGAATTAACTCATCTCATTCCTTAAAACTCAAAATATTTCTAAGCAAATAAAATTCATTTATCATTTGACCAATTCCTTATTAACCCAATTTATCAAAACTGGAGAAGAGAACATAATAAAAGTAACAACAAGGAACAATATTCATCAATACTGTCAAGATATGTTGAAGGTAAGAATATTTACTTTAACCAATGTTTCACAAGTATGTTTTTTTCTAATTTGTAGTCCTTTATCATCTCCTTAATTACCTGGTAGATCAAACTTATTCTGATGGGTTCGCTCATTCCTGAAAGACTGGAGTCCTAAGCTTCTATAAATTGTCTGGTCTTTTTTGTGTTACATCTGATCAATGAAAGCTTAAAGAAAAATGTTTCAATAAGATCTTTATTTAATAAGAAAACTTAGTAGATTATCCTAAACTAATAGACTTTTATGTAACTAAATTTCAAACCATAGTTGTCCTAGGGTTTAAGATAATGTATGGAATCACAGATGTACCGGACAACTGATCTGTCAACAAATAAATGAGTTTACCTTTCAATGATAATATGTAAATGGTATATTAAATGAATATTGGATTCTAACAAACTAACCAGAGGTTAAGGAAAAATAACTAATGTTGCATTCTTATATGATCTAATAATGACTAACTTTTAAGAATCATTGTACAATTTACAAAATGAATGCCTTTGTTTTGGTTACAGTATTTTGTTTGAATTAGGAAACAATATGACATATTTGTTTAGATTTTTAAGAGATCCCAGATATTCGACAGTATGATAAGTAGAAATAATGTTAACTGTAGTACAGTGAATCATTCTAAACGGTAGTCACTTGTTCTTTCGATTCAATATTAGTTTGTACTAGCGATTATGACAACATTTTTATTCATAACTAGTTGGTACAATACTCCTGATTTTAATGATCTATCTACTCCAAACCAACACATGCTCCCAGTAGAATTACATATATAATCCTAACCAACTATTTAGAAGCAATGCATTAATTAGTAGAGTAATTCAACATAGTAGTGCTTTTTATTCACTCACTACATTGATTCAAGCAAATCTGATATTCATTGCCAATACAATATAATACAGAACTAAATTAAAATATCTTCTGAAAAGATCTGGTCTGTCATCAACAAATCCATCATTTAAAAAGTGTTTGTTTAGCTTAAATACACACCAAAACGACCAAATAAATGGTTTCAACCCCAGTGAATTACTCAATAATCTAGTTGTTAACTCAATTGAAAACTGTTTTATTTGTTAATAAAATAAAATTATTATCAGAATGGGTTTTGTGGAGATTTTTAGAAATTTCACTGGTCAAAATCATGAATCAATCGGAGTTAGACCACCAGGGAAAACCTGGAAGCATTGGACGGCCGTTTCATCCTAGTATGGGACTCCTCGGCAGTGCGTATCCACAATCCAGACCCCTGTGAGATTCGAACCCAGGACCTATCAGTCTCGTGCCAGGCGCTTAACCAACTAGACCACTGAGCTGGTCAGCATCCAACGGTGTTAATGTCTAACTTCAACCAATCCACGAAGTTGCGCCACCGTACACCATTGTCTTCAGTGAGTTCCTATCTCACAACAGACCGGCTCAGTGGTCTAGTTGGTTAAGCGCCTGGCACGAGACTGATAGGTCCTGGGTTCGAATCTCGCAGAGGGCGAGATCGTGGATGCACACTGCTGAGGAGTCCCATATTAGGATGAAACGGCCATCCAGTGCTTCCAGGTTTTCCATGGTGGTCTAGCTTCAATCGACTGATGATTTCAACCAGTGAAAATAAAATTAGTTTATAGTATCGTTGAATGCCATTAATTGATAAGTTGAAACATGTTCATGTCCATATATTTTAAAAATTCGGTTTCTTTAAAATATTCCAAGAAAAAGGAAGAAACTAAATTCTAATTTACTTATGAGAATGTGAATTTGTAGAGAGTAGTAATTTTAATAGTTGGGTTTATGTGTCGATTTAAGCTAGATCACTATTGAAAACCTGAAAGTACTGGATAACCTTTCCGTCCTAGTATGGCACTCCTCACTAGCATGCACTCACCGTCTCTCATATGGGACTTGAACCCAAGAGCTTCGATCTCACACGAGAACACTTAACCTCTAGACCATTGAGTTACATGACATACACCGGTGTTAATGTCTAACTTTAATCGATCCACGATCTTGCACAACTCTTCATCCATTATCTGAAATGAATAACTGTCTCCACCTTACACGAATTAGATTCTATTGTCAGAAAGAATTCTAATAAATTACTTGAGATTTAGTGAAAATATTTTTGTTAATATCACTTTTTAAAACTAATTAAGAACGAGTCTTTTTTCTTAGAAAAATTATTTTATAATGAATAAGGTGTAATGAAATGAATAAACAAATGACATTCTATTAATGAATTTAAATTTCCACCTTTTATCAAAATGTTACCATATTTTAAAATGAATAATTAAAACAAAATGTTTCAATGATACCTTTTTTTAGATATTCCCTACACTGAAATAAGAGAAAAACTCATCTAAAAATTATGGACAGATGCTGAATTTCATTTTAAAACTATTTTATCATTATAAACAAAGATGGATAGTGGCTATTAGTGGAATCCAGGAAGTGGGTTTCATCTTATTTGGGACTCGTCAACCGGATGTACCTACGTCTCAGAGTTGATGTTCACTTTGGGACTCGAAATGCACATCCACAACTCCATCACCGAGGACCGAACACAAGACATTGAGTTCCAAGCGCAAACGATTAACCTTTAGACCTTCAAGCTAGATTCTGACTTTAACCCTCATACTGATAAATCTTTGATATCGTCTACTGTAAAACATTGTTACTTAGCAAATTCATGTGAATGTACAATCAAGTCAAGAAAATCTACCACTAAAAGTTTCTAAATTAATCTATATTAGTTATATGGTTTTTCCAAAGTTTTCTCAAATTTTTCTCAATTCATCTAAAAATTCTATCGTAAGACGGGAGATGATTGTGCAGTATCGTGAAATGATTAAAATTAGACATGTAAACCATCGGATGCCGAATCATTAATCTATAGGTTAAGTCGTAATCGCGAAATCTCTAACGTCATAGATTAGATCCTCTATAAGGTTGTGGATACGCACTGAATCCAGGAAGTCTCAATCTAATACGGAACAGATAACCAACGCTTCTTTCTTTCCAGTTTAACTAAGGTTAGCCCGTAAAATAAATTATAAAATTCAACGGTGTTCAGAATCCCTTTATAGAAATAAAAACTTTAAAATAAGATCAACTATATGTTAACTTACAATTCAAGAACAAGTGTAACTTCTTCATCAATTTGATATGCATCATATAATTGAATTAATCTTGGATGTCTTAATTTATTCATAACAGCAATTTCATTTAATACACTATTCATATCTTCTTCACTAGCAATTGGAACAAATTTTGCAGCAAATTCTCTTCCAGTCTTTTTTTCTTGACATCGTTTCACTTCACCAAATTTTCCACTGTAGAAAACAAAATACAAAAGATTATAATTTTCTTTTCTAATTTAAAGGAATAAGTTTTATAGTTTAAACAGTAACATATATCTACGAATTTACAAAAATCATAGAAAATAGTACTCTTCATGTAAGCAATGATGGATAGTGGCTAGCAGTGGAAACCAGGACGCGCGTTTCGTCCTATTTGGGACTCGTCAGCTGGATGTACCTGCATCTCAGAGTTGATGTTCACTCTTGAACTCGAACCCAGTACCATTCGCCCTAAACGCCATCGCTTTATTCACTCAATTACTGAGTCCTGATAGCCACTTGCTTGTGCAATACCAAGTGAATTGTACTCTTCAGTAGATAAAACTATTGTATGTATGACATAATAGGTGTTTTTCCTCGTAATTAATTATCGAAATATGTAAAGTTTTAATCACCTTTCATAATTCGATGCAGATCGAAAATAGGTCAGAAGAATACTTTTATACTCCCTACTTTTAAAATATTCATAATAAAAACTAATCAAAATTTCACTCCATTTGGTATTTGCTTGTATCTTCCCAATGTTGTTTAGGACTGTAAATTGACCAGTCTCTTATTGAGATATGTGCATCCTGTGCGTATTGCCTCCATATTGCCTTGAGTCACAAGCTTTATAAGCAAAGATGGATAGTGGTTAGTAGTGGAATCCAGGAAGCACGTTTCGTCCCGTTCGGGACTCATCGGCTGGATATGCCTGAGTCCCAGAGTTGATGTTCACTCCTGGACTCGGAGCCAGTACCAGGACTCAGTAGCTAAGTGGATAACGCGATAGCATCTGAAGTGAAGTGTACTGGGTTTGAGTTGCGGAATAAACAACAACTCTGGGATGAAGGTATATCCAGCTGATGTGCCTCGTATATGACGAAACATGCTTCCTGGACTCCACTGTTAGACACCATCCATCTTTGCTTATAATACTCAGAATTTCGTTAAAGAATTTCTCAATGTTTTTTTTCAGTCTCACGGTTTTTAAAGACAATGTTATGCAAGTATTCTAAAGTGATCATAGGATTTTTAATCAATAAGTGAACAACTGAAAAGTTGGTACTAGACTGAGTTTCCTCAGTCAATAACAAATTCTTTATTTCATTTCATTCACATCTGTTAAACTCTTCCATTGATTGTAAAGTCTAAACTAGTATGTATTGTTAAAAATCGATCTAAATACATCACAGAATTTTCCATTGAGCAAGATATTAAGTTCACTAAAGTTTAGTTAAAATCCTTTAACCAATGAAACATTAAGAAGATAAATACTCAAATTCATAAAGGCATCAAATAACGGTTGGCAGGTTAGTAATTGAACTTAAAATAGTATAAAAATACCCTGAACCTATTCAATCAACCTGTATAGTGAGTCGATCAGTAGAGTCTAGCACATTTGTGTATCGGTTTAAGTAGTTACACCATATTAGCATATAGAAATGAAATTAATAGAACAAATTACTGAGTAGTAGAAGTAGTTACAGTATTACTATTATTGTAGTGAACGAGAACACAACCAAGTGTTTGTGAAATGCAACATTACAGAATGCCTTAGTCAAATCTGAGAACCATACAATAATACTTCATTTGCAAAATATTCATCAATTGTCTCAGACCTTATTGTTTCTTCGTTTCCATACTAATCACTCTCTGCTCTCGTTCTCTTCTCTTCCATTTTCTTAACCTTCTATCACTAAGCATTTCACCTTCAAGTGACGACACATACTACTTATATCTGTCGGCATCAGTAGCACACACCACGTTAATACTGTTATTATTACTAGTTGTAACAGTAATAGTAACAGATAATCTATATTAAGATCATAAAACTCAGTATAACTACTCAGCAGCTAAAGCTACCTTTTATAATTTACCAAGGAATCAAAATCCAATATAAAAAAACGTGATAAGTGATTATAGAAGTGTAATACCCACTCAATAGAAAAGCAGAACATAGTATCCAGTCATTGATTACTGTGGTGTATATTTAAAGCAACAAATCTTTTCTTCCATCACAGAAAAAGAAACCATAAACTATCACTACATGATTATGTAAGAAATCTTTTTACAAAATTCAAACTGGCTGTTTTTCTGTTTTGTATTGCATATTCAAAACAACAAAAAAAGAAAGAGATTGGAATAGTCCAAATTGTAGGGCAAGACATTGTTTTAAAAGTAAATTAATGAAAAAGCTATGTACTTTATTTTCGATCCTATACTTTGTTTCCACACTTTTCAAAAGATTGATTATCATTGCTGTGAGGTAGTAACTCACTGAAGACAATGGTGGATGTGTCACTCAATTTCGTGGATTAGTTGAAGTTAGACATTAACACTGTTGGATACCGCCCAGCTCAGTGGTCTAGTTGGTTAAGCGCCTGGAGCGAGACTGATAGGTCCTGGGTTCAAATCTCGCGGGGTAGGATCATGGATGTACTCTGCTGAGGAATCCCATATTAGGATGAAACGGCCATCCAATGATTCCAGGTTTTCCATGGTGGTCTAAATCCAATTAACTCATGACCTCAAATATTGAAATTACTACAATCTCCACAAAACCCCTTCTGTTATTCTTGTTAGTTGTGAAATTTCTAGTCTTTGTATAAATCTATAGGAACTCTGTTAGGAATATTGTCTCTTTATATGTTAGTGTTTTCTTTCATTAGGGAATAGATGGAATTTTTTAATAAAAAAAGATTTATGTATATCATCATGAAAGTATTTTACAATCATTATAATCTGGTAGGTGATATTTGGAGTGTAGAATATTAAGTTCAATTTAACCGGTAAAACTGTATTTGTATTTGTATTGCTTGCATCTGCTGGGATCACCGCGTACGTACTAGTAAGGTTAGACGTAGGGTATTAGGGAATAATGGTAAATTGGTTGATGAGGTTGTGAATTTTCATCGACTGAGATGGTTGGGCAAAGTGTCACTTATGCCTAAATATCGATTGCTACGACGCGCAAAGTTGACAAGTGTTCGGGTCGAGACTATAATTTATGGACGACTTTTGAACGAGTCATAAGTGACCTTGAGAAATATCAGCCAATCAGAGAACAGTCAGTATAGAGTAAAAATATATTATTATTATTATTATTATTATTATTATTATTATTATTATTATTATTATCAGCTTTATTCAATATTATATTTTTGGTACAATATAGAATTCTCAGCACAAAGTATTTCAACAAGTTTCCGTTTCTTTCTTCTTGGTCGGTCCTGGCGATAAGTATTGAGTGATCTCCAGTTAGGTGTTAGTAGTTCAGTAAATGAACATCTGAATAATGTGCATTCTTTTCGTTGTATATTGCCAGCAACTACATTGTCTCTTATTGAGTTTTTGTAACTTTGACAACGAAAGGTTGTACACTTTTCAGAAACGCAGCAGACTTGTTTATGCGATTAATAAACATAATGATATATTAAAACAAACAAAAGTAGATAACTTGTTGAAATATTTAGATGGCAGAAACAGGTAGCCCAGATGCTCAAGCAGGCCGCCCCTACGAAACCAAAGAAATAGAGTTGATACACTTCTTATAAATGGCTCAAAAACTTGTGAAGGTTACAAAGAGGTTTAGAGGTTCTAAAATCGTAATGTATGTAGTAAAGGAAATCATCTATATGGCTACAGAATAGTCGGCCTCTGGAATATTGACTTTCTATATTGTCGTCAAACTGTACTTTATATCGAAATATTAAAGAAAAACACATTCATATCTATACGCATTATAAAATGTCTAGGTGACTAATTACACAATGATAAAAGCATACAAAACATAGTTTACCATGAATTACATAATCATTTTCAAATTCTGTCTATTGACTATAATGTCGCCTATAATCATTCCAATAGTGAAGTTGTAATATCCTTTTATGTTTCCAAATTAACCCAAGTTGAAAGAGTCTAAGTATATATATATAGTTTTTTTCCCTTCCACTGAATGACATTTTAGCGTTTAAAAAACAGAAAAAAATAATAAAAATCCGGTAGTTTCCACTATTTGAGCTACTTTTTTTTTCTAAAAAGGAATCTTTAGCTTAAATTGTCTGCACATTGATTTATACATTTAGTCTGGTTATGAATTATAATTTAGATATTTCGGTACAATGAAACTATTCAGAATAGCGTTTATTAACATTTAATACCAATGTAAGTAATATGTGTAAATGTTACTTATAATTACTAATTCATAATGCATAAAAAATAACATATTCGCTAACATCAATGCACCGAATGGTTGGAGTAATTAATGTCTAATTTTACCATGTTACCATGACACTTCAAGTTTTGGTTAATATATATGTATATACGTATGCATGTGTGCTTAGAATTTTAACTACTTCATTTGACAGTGACTAAAATGTCAATATGAACAACAAAATGTAAGCACCAATCTTTGTATTCAGACTTGTCATTACACAAATTTAAAATCGAATTAATTATGTTATTAATAGTGAATAGGTACAGTCCGTACCGTACTGTACCGTACTCTACCGTATAAGTGGAAGAATAAGTAGAAAATGTTATTTAGAATAGATGGATGATCGCTAGAAATCGAATATAGGATTAGCTGTTCATCTGATTTGAGATTTGACAATTAGATATACCTGCCACATGCTAATGTTAAGATTAGAACTAGGACTCGAACATAAAACCTTTCAATTCAAATTCCCAATACAGTATTCTCTGAACTAATAAATCCAGATAGCCACTAACTTAACTAAAATGGATAGATACAGGAAGTCCTCACACAAATACTGGTTATAATTTAATTAACAATATCCAAGACGGAATACAGCTTTTAAACATTTCTCCTGAAGTATGTTACTTTTTTTTAGTCCAATACAATATAAATAAGTGTCATTAGATAAACTAAGACCGATCAGTACTCTTTTGGAGTTACGTTCAATTGTTATTATCAACTTATATACTTTGATATTTATACCTAAAAGAAAGCGAGTATATTTTCACAATAA